GCCGTTTCGGGGCTCGGTGTAGTTGGCCGAGATCGATATGGTGTTTTCCCGTTGCGTGGCAAAATGTTGAATGTGCGTGAAGGAAGTCATAAACAGGTATTTTAGTTCATTGATTACTCGCTTAAACCCGTTGCGTTTGTTTTTTTTTTTTTTTTTGGTATTTAGAAGTTTTGTGAAATTTTGTTGCAGATAATGGAAAATGCCGAAATCAATGCTCTGATCAAGATTATCGGATTGCAGTACCGTTTGAAATATGATAAAGATGAGGATCTAAAAAGTCTCAGATATGGCAAAATCATGGTTATGGCTGATCAGGCAAGCCTTCGTAATCCTCTTATTTTACTCCGTTTTTCTTGGTCTGTGCCACAATTAGTGGATTTTCATTTTCACGTGTTACAGGATCAGGATGGCTCACACATCAAGGGGCTCGTGATCAACTTCATTCACTATAATTGGCCAGTATTAATTCGCCGAAACTTCGTGGAAGAATTTATCACTCCCATTGTTAAGGTTTCTGTTCTGTTAATATCGTCCAAAAAGGCAGCGTTCATCTTTTACAGACATAGTATCACCACCAAAGTTCTTTAATTTTACAGCTTTTTATATTCATATATCTATATATGTATGGGAAAAAATGTGTACGTTAATTCATATTTCTCAATAAGAGGATTAAAAAAGACTACAGCCAAGTGAAGTTTATAGAGACCTACGAAAACTGCCACAAGTCATACCTATCGCGACCCTAACTATTTGCTTATTAGACTAGTGTGTGCCCCGGTTGTAGGAGTCTGTATGTGTACAACGTCACGTCCTATATACATCTTTATTAATACATAGTAAGTTAATGAGATAATGCATACAAAGGTGGTGAGGCTCTGGGGAGCAGTATTAGTTAAATAGAAGCAGGTCGCAGTAGTGGATAGGTAGTGGCGATCCCGGCGATGGGGAGAAGTACTTTTATACCCCAGGGGACATAGATCGAAAGTTCAGTGAGAGTTGGGTGGTCAAAGTTTGAACCAGGAAGAGGAGTATTGCGTCATAGTAACGCAATTGTTCTTTAACCTACTTTTAACAAGAAACCATTAATCATTATTTGATCTATTAAACGACATATCTTAGAGAGAAAATTTAGTCAAATTCACCTTGACAATAAATGTAACGGTGATTATGTGAGCATGGGGGGAGGGGGAAGAAAGGGGAAGGTGGGGGAGGTGAAGAAAGTGGAGGAAAAAAGGTTGAATAAACTGATAAATGTTAAAAACTCCCACAGTTGCTGTCCTCACAAGAAAACTGAATTAGGTTTTTCGTATGGGATTTTTTTCATTTTTTGCACTTTCGCAGTTTTTCTGCATTTTCTGTGTATTCTGCAAAACGATGTGTCATTATAGGCCAGCAAAGGTAAAGAATCAATTTCATTCTTTTCGTTGCCGGAATATACTGAATGGCGGAATAATACGGAGAACTGGAAATCCTATCGCATAAAGTACTACAAAGGTATACGTTTAAGATTTTGTTCATACATTAGGAACATTTTTGTACAATTTGTTAACCTTTAATCGTTTTTTAATAACCAAAAAACGAAAAAAAAACCAGAAAAAAAAAATTAAAAAGTAAAACCAAAAACCAATTTTGACCAAATTTAAAAATTTTTTAAATTTTTTTTTTGGTTTTTCATAACCAAAAAAAATTTTGAATTTAAATCTACCTTTTTAATACCTAATTTTATCTGTTTTTTTAGGTTTGGGCACTTCGACATCGAAGGAAGCCAAAGAGTATTTCACCGATATGGCGCGTCATCGAATTCGTTTTCGTTATTCCGGTGAGGAGGACGATAATTCGTTGGATATGGCATTTAGTAAGAAAAAGATCGAAGATCGCAAAGTGTGGCTTACAAACTGGATGGCTGTAAGTGTTTCTTCTGATCCATAAAGCACGGCTGATGATGTGCAGATCCAGCTTTCTGCGACCAACGCATAGTTACTTTCAGGAGAAGAAACTGAGACGTGAGCAAGGTCTCACCGAAGAGTACCTCTATGACAAGGATACACGTGCTGTTTCGTTCAAAGATTTCGTCAACAAGGAATTAGTATTGTTTTCGAATACGGACAACGAGCGATCCATCCCAAGTTTGGTCGATGGACTGAAACCCGGCCAGCGTAAGGTTCGTTAAAGGCGCGGCGTTTTCTTTTTTATGCATTTTTTGCAGCTATGCAATGCAGAAAACGCATATTGACGAGGGGTTGTCTGTGTGT